GGGCTAAACGACCCCCAGTCAGCCCCTCTCTCTCCCCTCTCCCTCGCCGCCCCATGGATTACAGGTTTCCTTCGGGAGCGAAAGGCGCAGCCCTCCTCCTGAGCAGAGCAGCTTCCTGGCAGCTGGTGTGCGGGGCTGCCCGGGAGTGAAGCGCCGGCTCAGCTTGCCCAAGGATCTCGCCGCCCTGGAAGGGGGGGAGACCGCGGCTTCCCTGCTCCCCACTTCCTCCACGGTCCCCTTCGCTGGCTCGGCGCTTCGGCCATGGACGGCCTGCTGGAGCCCTTCCCCTCGGAGCGCCTCTTCCCCGGGGGCGCCTCCGGCTTCTTGGACCTGGGCGACCTGAACGAAGCCGACTTCCTCAGCAATGTGGTAAGGCCAGCGGCCGCTTGGTAGCCGGCTGGGTGGGGAGGGGAACGAACCAGATGGGGCGGCAACCCGCTTCCGAAGACCGGAGGGCTGGGGGTCCGCTTCTGGATGGCGGGGAGGGAAAGAGCCAGAGCTGCTTAGAACAGCTGGGAGGGCGAGGCAGAAGGAGGCTTGCCTTGTCCCGGGATGCCCCCGGATTTGCCTCCAACCTCGCCTTAAACTTGCCCGGGTGCCCGTCGCTCTGACTTGAATGGCAGTCACGATCTGTCAACCAACACGTGCTGCCCTCGGTCATCCGACCCATCATCCTTGTGCATTCAGCTACATTTTGGCCACATTACGAGCAGGCGAGACTCGGAATAACCGAGGGTTGATTCACATAGATGCACCTCCCTTAATTGAACATATGGAGAGTGAACAGTGAAAGGTGTGAGGGGACTCCACTGAGAAGCATTGTGTTTCAATGATACAAAAACCCTGTCTGTGGTGTTTGATTTGTTGCGTCTCCCTCAGGCAACCTCCCCTCCCCCCACTTTTAGATCCTACCTACAGTCTTCAAGTGGTGGTAGCCATGCACGTGTGAAGCCAGCCCCTTCATTTGCTTCAAAGCACGATGGCTGGGCTGGTAGACATACAGTAATTAACCCATGGAAGATCCAAAGGCATATACTGTAGTATCCCTTGGGCTTCGAGTGCAAAATGTTGCCGTACCACAGAACAAATGGCGCTGTGAGTGCACTCTTAGGTGGTTTCTCTGCCAAAGGAAAGATCTGCGGCACGTTTTTTGTTCTTGTTGCACGTTAAGGGTTACAACGGGATCCAAGAATTGTGAACGGCTGGATAGATGTGTTCAACCATATGTTGAGCACAACCTTCCGAAAAGCTTGTAAACCAGGTGAAAAAAAAAGATATGAGATTTAATTAGGATTTAAGATTGTTAGTCTTCATACAGATTTCCGGTTTGAAAAGCCATAAGTGAGGAGATAAAAGACAAATGTGCCTGAAGGCAGACTGTGTTAGCGTAAGACTTTTGCAGTGAAAATGTCAGAGACTTGTTGCTTTCCAAAGGCTTATTGTAGTATGACCTCTTGTGGACCAAATCCATTTTCTTGGATTACAGTTCCTAAATTCTTCCAGCCAGCATGGAAACCATGCTGACTGGAGGCTTCTGGGAGTTGTAGTCCAAAAAGTAACTGTTTGAGCTCTGGCAATTGTACAGAATGGTTTCTTCTCTTTTATCTATTGCAAGTATTTCAAGATTTTTTTAAAATTCATTTATTACAATAGCTATTAGTATGATTAATTATATTAGCTGGACTTATGCTTGTAGATTAGCATGCTGGTCCTGCTGTGTGAGGGATTCTAGGAGGGTCTTTTTTTTAAAAGTAACATTTCTAAACTCTGGGTTCTCCTCTTTTCTCTTAGCAATTGCTGAATGGTTTGACTAGATTCCACATTATCAGTCTGGTTAAAATGCCTTCTGAGAATGTAAACTAAAAATATTATTTGAAAGAACGGAGGATTATAATGTACTCATGAGACAAAAAAATAGCCTTGGGGCCTATTTCAACAATTAAAATGACATAGAGACTTAATTTAATTTACCATTTAAATCAAATGTTAAAAGGGCATGAGGAGGATTAATTTAATTTAGTATTTTATAAAAGGGGAGATCCAGCTTCACCTGTTCTACATTTTGTTCTCGCTGCAGCATCAGTTCATCCCACAAAATGGGGATTCTCCACATGCAAGAGGAGCTAGTTTATCTGTATTGTTTTGAATATTTAAATCTTTGTTGGCTGGATACACATAGTTATTCTTCTCTTGGATTAATATTACCTGGTAAATGTAAAGTGGCTTGATTGAAATGTGTGATCATTACTGGTGATAGGGTTGGACTCCCTATAAGCAAAAACAGTTACCATTCTCACATCAGGCCTGTAACCTGGGCATTATTAACTCTGCTTTACAGATGAGAAACTGAAGCCAAAATAATCTGCTTTGCTTAAATGCAGTAGCCCAACATCGTCCATTAGACTGAGGCTAGTGATGAATTTAAACCATGTACATGAGCCTTCTGATGAGATTTTCTTTTTCCTTTTAATGAAAGCTCAAAGCTTTTAAAAATTGAGGCATGTATGATCTGAAGGTGGTGGAAGTACCAAAGTTATTGTCCACACACTATTCCTTCTTTTATGTATATATCCACTTTTAGCCAAACTGCATCACCAACTCACAGGTTGGAAGAAATCCAGATGTTTGCAGAATTGCAAAAAGTCTAAGAAAGTCTGCAAGTTAAAGAGGGCTGGGCCCCAAGGCAACTCAGTGAGGACTGAACATGCTTGGTGGTAACAAATGTGGACTGGCTGTTGTGCAAGAACCAAAAGATATGGTCTGGAGAGGAGGAATGGTATGGAGCATTCAAGAAAAGGTCATGGCTAGCTGGCTAACACCTTCCATGCAGTGACATTTTGGTACAGAGGTGTCTGACTTATTTCTTATACAGTACTAGCCTGTTACTAACAGGTCTTCAAATACCTTTAAAAGAGAGTCAGGTTTTCTTCTAGTCTCACATCCAGCTGCTGCCGCCCCTGCCCCCCTTTTAACCTTGGGAGACTTGTGTTTAAATCACATATGTGTGAAAGGAGTCTTCAGAAGCAAGCTTAATCTTCTTTACATTTCATGTTTACCTACAGATTGCAATGACCTTTCTCATCATAATGTTGTACTTCCTGGGCTAACCTTTCTATCGTGAGCATGAGATTTGGCCAGTGTGTTTTTTAATCATGCCAGAATGCCTCTATTCATTCATTGTTTTTATTAATGTTGTGACTTTGATAGCACCTTTGAGGTGTTGCTTCAGACACAGTCATCTTTTCACCTTGTATTTGTTCTTAGCCCACAGTCTCCAGTCTTCGGGCTGGCTTTATGCCATTGACATCAGTGAGCCGCTACATTTTTCTGTTTTTGAATGTTTAAACTTTCTGTGCACCTGCTAGATTTCTGGAGACAGTGTGAATGGTGGGCTGATATCTTCATCCTGAGTGATATATATATAAGATTAAAATAATTCCAAATGTGGGTAAAAAGACTAGGCAATTGCAGAAATGGCATTTTACTAATGGGACACTGCTGGGAATGTGGTATAACTATACTGGTGATCTGGCAACATCTTAACTCTATGAATGCCCTCTGACCATGCTTTTGTGCCTCCTAAGATTTGTGCTTTTGTGCACTAGTTTTCTGCATCTGGAAGGAAGAAGAGATTTACATGCTAGTTGCTATTAAAGAGCAAATTACTTGGACATCATATTGTGCTAGGTGATTCCTATTTTCAGGTCTGTAAAAGGACTAAGGAGGAAAAGAAATTGTGTTGAGTGGGGAGTAAATTTTGTAAGTGAGGGTGTACAGCGCAGTTTGGTTAGATATGCAAAGTGTCTTGAGCCAGCTAGGGCTGCTATCATGGCCACTGAACTAGCTTGGATTAGGTGTTTCAAAAGAGGTACATTCAGTAACTTCTAATTCCTAAAATAAACCCTGATTTCTGGGAGTGCTGCTTACTTTAGATGAAACTGGCATAGCACTGCCTGGAAATGGTGAGTTCATATTAACTTTGGGCCTCTCCAGCTTATATTTTTGAGCAATAAACATGCCACTGATAGTTACACAGTTATTGTGAGGAGTTCCTCTCCAACAGTTGCAGAGAAAAGGCATTTTTCTCAGCACTCAAACAGCAATATTTCGTTGTGACTTGAAAAGAGAGAGCAGGAGGATATACAGTACCTTCTTTTTCCCCAAAGAGGGCAATCATGGCATGAAAAGTAGTTTTATGTTTCAGCCACCTATGGACAATGCCCATGATGTCATGGATGATAAGCCGCTCAGAGTGGTCGAATAGACCAGATGGGCAAGTTATAAATCAAATCAAATCAAATCAAATCAAATCAAATCAAATCAAATAAATAAATAAATAAATAAATAAATAAATAAGCAACAAAAATCTCCTATACAACCCACCTCCATCTCCTGTGTTCCTGCAGTACATCACTTCAAAGAGTTCGAAATCCAGAGGAACTCATTCTCTGAACTCTATCCTTGTTCATTTCTTCATTCTGTGTATTGACCAAATAAATGGCTGTGCCTTACAGCTGGAGGTTATGCAGACTGGGGGAACAAGTCGGGGAGATAGTTCATTGTCAAATTTCTTCTTCTTCTTCTTCTTCTTCTTCTTCTTCTTCTTGGCCAGGATGTCTTTGTTCCCTTGAGTCATCAAAGTGAATTAAGGGCTACTCAAGGTAGCTATCAATCGTGTCTCACTCAGAACCTTCAGGAAGGGAGTATTTCCATGCCAGGCTACCTCTTCACTTGAAAGGAGAGCTTTGGTGATCCTATGCCTTTCCCTCTGTTTAGATAACAGTAAGAATAGGGTAGTTCAAAATTTCTTATGTTTTTGGTGTTTGCTGTTTGTATCTTGTATGCTTGTACCCACACTTGCTGGAATTTGGAACTATTTTACTATTGTTTGCAATATCCTTTTATTTACTTATTTTCCCTTATCCCTTTTTTAAAATAAACTTTACAAATGCTTTCCAGCTGTGTCTGAAAGGTGAAGTGGGGGGATGGTTGTACTATTTCATTCAGTCCTGTCCCTGGCCTAGCTGCTGAATGGGTAAGAATTAATATATATGGGAAAGACGGTAAAAACCCTTTAGCACTCACTCCCAAAGGGTGTTAATAAATGTTGATGAAATGTGTCAGAATATGGAAGTGAGTGTGTTTTTTGTTATATGTGACCACAGTCCCTATGTTGGAATTATCATGACCTAGTCCTAGCATGGGGAATTATCCTTCACACCTCTGTGAATGGAGAAACCCAGAAAATAGGGTCTGATTAGCAAAGTTTATCAAGGTAGGCTTCAGCAGTAGGTGGACCGAGAACTCCCAGAAGTACAAGCTGGATTTCGAAGGGGCAGAGGAACTAGAGACTAAATTGCTGACCTGTG